AAAAAAACAAAGGATAAAAATACCTTTTTTTTTCCTTTTTCTTTGAGAAAGAGTCTCTTGTATACTATGCTTCCTGGACTCCCTATGTAGTGGAGAGAGTGTGACTTTGACCTTCTAATCCTCTGCCTCAAACTCTCAAGTTCATAACCATGCACCATAACACGTGGGTTTAATGCCTTACCTAGAGCTGAATGCAGCCAGGGCTTTCTGCTTGCCACCAGTTGAGCTACATTCTTGCCCTTGTCCCCTAAACCAGCGGTTCTCAATACGTGGGTCACGACCCCAGGGTTGAAGGACAGGGGTCACACATCAGACATCCTACATATAGGATTCATAGCGGTACGAAGAATTGCAGTTAGGAGTAGCAATGAAATAATTTTATCGTTGGAGGTCATTACAGCATGAGGACTATTAAAGGGGACTCAGCATTAGGAAGGCTGAGAACCACTGCCATAAACTAAATGGAAAATTCCCTTCTCCAGTTTTAGAACGTGGGTTTTTTTTTTTAATTTTTTAATCTTTTGGATTATCGAGACAGGGTTTCTCTGTGTAGCCCTGGAACTTGCTCTGTAGACCAGGCAGACTCAAGAGATCTACCTGTGTCTACCTCCTGAGTGCTGGAATTAAAGGCGTGTGCAACCACTGCCTGGCTCAAAAACACTTTAAAAATAGAAAAGTGTAGGGGTTGGGGATTTAGCTCTGTGGAAGAGCGTTTGCCTAGCAAGTGCAAGGCACTTGGGTTCCGTCCTCAGCTCCATAAAAATAAAAACAGTAAAGTGGCCAGGCAGCTGGTGGTGCATTCCTTTAATCCCAGCACTCTGCATCCAGATGCAGAGCCAGGCAGATCTCTGTGAGTTCGAGGCCAGCCTGGTCTACAAAGCAAGTTCCAGGACAGGCACCAAAACTACATGGAGAAACCCTGTCTTGAAAAACAAAACAAAACAAAATAAATAAATAAATAAATAAATAAATAATTGAAGTGGAACATTTGTGTAGATGCTTCCTGAATATCAAATTTATTTAAAAAATATTTTTTATTTTATATGAATGCGTCTTCTGCCAGCATATATATTTGTGTACAACATGCATGTATTGCTTTATGGAGGCCAGAAGAGAGCACTGGATCCCCTGCAACTGAGCCATGGTGTGGGTTCTGGGAACCAAACCTGAGTCTTTGGAAGAGCAACAAGTATTCTTAATGGCAGAGCCATCTATCTCTCTAGCCCCCTTTCCTCTTTTTAACTTATTTCTTTTTGTGTGTGAATTCATGCATGAGTACTATTTTTGCATCATTCCTACCGTTACCTCTCTCCCTCTAACTCCTCTTGCATCTCCTTCAAATTTATGACCTCTTCTTTAATTGTTACATGTGTATCTTTATATGTGTATATAAATACTCTGCTGATTCCATGTAGTGTTACTTCTATGTTTATTTAGGGCTGATCCTTTAGGTTCGGATATACTATTTGTGGGACTCATCCCAGAAGAAGACTGATTCTCTCTTTCAGGAGGCAGTTATTGCCTGTAGTCCTCATTTGGGGGTAGGGCCTTGTGAGATTTCCCTCATCCACCTTGGCATGTCAACAGGTGTTGTCACTGTGCAGGCCTTATTAAGGTGATGTATTTTTGAGATTTCATGGGTGTAGCTTTTTGTCATATGGAACATAGTATCTCACAGTAGATAGATGTCCTGGTTCTCTGGCTCTTAATTTTTTTTTGAGACAGTGTTTCACCATGTATCACTGCCTGGTCTGGAACTCATTATATACATGATCAGACCACAGAGATCTGTCTACCTCTGAATCCTGAGTGCTGGGATTTAAGGCGTGGACCACCATGCTCACCTGGTTCTTAGAATCTTCCTGCCCCTCTTCCATGGTGTTCCCTGAGTTTTTGTTGTAGGAATTGTATTGTAGATCAACACAACTTGCATCAACTGGGTTTGAACACTGCTGCAAAAAGAAACTTCTTTAATAAGGGGTAAGAGCTGCATTTATCCATGGATATAAGGGTAAATATTTAGAATGCAGCCAGAAGTTACACTGTTATAGGAAAGTGGCTGTCCTCTAGGGACCATTAGCCATGGTTAATTGGCTAGATTTACAATACCATGCACGAATGTCCTCATATTGAGCAGGCATTAAGTAGACAGCTGTTGGTTGCAACCAAGATACAAATGCCATTATTGTTGTACCCTTTGGGAATATCCTACCATGTTGGTCTTCGTTGTGGCTCATAGGCTTTACAGCTGGTTCGAACTATTTATTGCTTTTCTCCACTGGCAACTTGCAAAGCACTTTTGGATGCAATGAGAGCTAGTCCTTACAGAGGTCAGTTCCAGCTCAATTCTTGTGTCTAAAGTGTGGATAATTTTTAGCAATTGCATCTTCCCTTCAAGTCCTGGGAGGCAACCAAGGGCAATGGCAATAGCCTATGTTATTTTTGAGAGTCTCTTCCATTTCCCTCACCAAAAACTTGGAGGGAGATTTCTTACGCTTGGCACTGGGTGTGCGTGTGTGTGTGTGTGTGTGTGGGGGAGGAGTTGTGGGGTTGTTAGGGAGTCTATGTCTATCTGTAGGTATTTTCTGGGCTATTTAACTTTTGTCACCCAGGATTTAGGATATTCTGACCACTATGTGTATGAGACTGATCATTTGTACAAAAGAAATGCAAATTCTTAGCCAACTATACTAGTGCACACTTATAATCCCAACACTTTGAAGGCTGGTGACAGTCTAAGAATTATTAGGATCCTTCAAGGCCAGTCTAGGCCAAGAGAACTCTATGAATATTGATTGGTGTTGTCTGTGGTTAGGGAAAATTTTGTTATTAATTTAGCTTATATCAAAAGTTTAAATCCCATAGGTTCCTTAATACCTGAACCCTATGGGGTCAGGGAGTCTTTAGAGGCAATTGATATGTTAGGTTCCTGGCGGAATTGTTGGAAAAAAGGTAGGAGGCTTGGACAAACAGAACTGAAGGGCAGATTGGATTGAGGGACTAGTGAGGTAATGGCTCTTAGAGGATAACCTACTACATCCACTTTACTAACTCCAAATAATTCCTACCTTCATTCTAAATATTTATCCTTATACTCACTGATGAGTGTGGAGACTGTTACAGAAAACCAAAACCACTCAAAAAGCAGGGAACAAGTGACCGTGGAGTGATCACCGGTTGATACATCTACAACCTAACTCCTGTGGCCCGAGAAACATAGCAAAAGAGAAGGTGGGAAGATTGTAAGACACAGGAAACCTGCTGTGAGAATGAGTCTCCAAGAAATGACAGGGAAGCTACACCAGGATACCTCAACAACATGGCTGCCTAAACAAGACCTGAAGAAGCATACCACCAATGGGTATGGGGAAATCTCATGAGGTCCCATCCATACCAAAGATTACAGGCGACTAAGGAAGGCTTAGAGTGGGAGAAAAAGTCCTCCTCATGCTTGGGCCCCTAACTGGCTATCCAATACCATGTGGTTAGTCCTAAAAGTCATAACACATACAAGTAACACTAAAAAGACAGGGCAGGTTGCATATCAATATTCACTTACATATATGTGAAGTTTGTGGAGGTGATAGAGTATGATCAAAATATACTGCATGAAACATTTTACATAAATAATAAATTAACATATACATTATTTGAATAATAATTGGATCAGAGTAACCATAGAACCTGAGAATAATTCCTAGAGAGCAGCTATGATGATTTAGTTGTTAACTTTCCTACCAATCTAAGGAGACAGGGATATGGACATTCCATCCAAGCATCTCTTGTATTAATATCAGAAATTGGACCATTTGTGAAGTTTGAAGATTAGAAGTTTTTTTTTTCTTTTGAGTGTCAGATGGTATGCATTCCATACCGTTTGGCTCTTACTTACTTCTGTGTCTTTGGAAACCAGGAAGAAGCAAATGTAAAATTCACATATGGAGCAGAAAGCCAATGTCCCTTCAACTCCAAATTTGTTTGTTCAGAAAGAATTAGTTGACACAAGGAAAGCACTGATTATGTAGGTTCATCATTTTCCTAACAGGTATTGTAGCCACTGAAGAGGAATTCAAGGTTCAAGAGAAAATGACTCTTTAAATTATATTTTCTGTGGATTGAGCCAACTTTACACAGGTTAGCAGAATATTTTTACTGATGAGCTATATCCCAAGCCCAATGACTCATTGTAAAAATGGAAACTTTGAAAAGGAATTAATCTCAAGATTTAGGAAATTCAGTGGGAAGCAACAGATACATTTCCTGTGATTAAAGATACCAAGTTGAAGGTGTAGATCATCAAAGACAATCAAAATACTAAAATGAGCAGCCTCATTCCATACAAAGAAATGGCAATGCAACTGGACATCAAGCTTCTCCTCTGCAACAGTGGACAGTCTGAGAAGCAACGCTTGGAATGAGGTGAGAAATACAGAGGTTACTCCAGAATTATAATCCCAGCTAAAGTAGCACACAGGTTTAGATGTATCTGAGACATTTCCAGACACAAACTTGAGACTGATCACACAGGCCATGGAGGAAGGAATCCTTAAAAAGTGTACTGAAGGGGTCATGCAATAATACTTGCTTACAGTAGAAATCCTTGGGAAGCTAAAGCAGGAGGATTGTAAGTTTATTGGGAGAGGGAAACCCTGTCAAAAATGAGAAAAGAAAATTGTACTACAGCAAGAAGACACACGAGGACAGAATGAAGAGGTGGAGCGCAAGGATGAAAACAAGGAAAGAAACTGGCAAAGCATTCCCAGGTTTAAGTAACAAATGTTGATGTTCAACACACACAAAAAGGCTAGCATCTTGTTGGTTTCAGCTTTGGCAGAAATGATTTATTTCATTATAAAAAGCATAGGCAAACCATAAAAAGTAGACATTTAACAATAGTCGTGATGTGCATAAAATCCAAACAACAAACACATGAAGAAAAACTATCCCCATACAATACAAGCTTCCTTTGGGCGCACGCGCACATGCACGCGCGCATGCTCACGCTCACACACACACACACACACACACACACAAAACAAAACAAAACAAAAACCCTAAGGATTAAACAAAAAACAAAAAACAACCCAGTCTGGAATTGCAGTCTTAAGAAAATTCTCTGGGATAGCAGGAATGCAAAGAATGTAGGTATTACAAGTCCTGCCACTGAGAGTCACCACGTGGGCTGATGAAAAAGACAACACAGGTTCTAGAAAAATGGCTTGGCAGTTATAAGCATTGGTTATTTTTTCAGAAGACCTGGGTTCAATTCCCACCACCCACATGGTAGCTCACAATCATCTGTAACATCAGGGGATCTGATACCCTCTTCTGGCCTCCACAGGCACTGCATACATGTGGTGCATACATTCAGGTAAACACTCATACACATAAAATAAAAGTACAATTAAAAGAAAAGAAAACACAGAAAGACATGCACACACAAATTTTTGTAAAATCTCACATTTAAAGCCTGAAGTGGTCCTTCATTCATTTCCACCTCCCACCCATCTGCTTCCAAGTCTTCAAAGGACCACCTAAAATTTACAAAGGCCTGTAGCCCCAACTATGGCCTCATTTATTATCTTCCTAGTTTTTTAATAACCTCAATGAATCAAGGTTCCCCATAGCTCTTATGTGAAGACATCTGAATAATTACATTTTAAAATGAATTCATTTATTCAATCAAATATTTTAATAATTTGATGAAGTCTTTTTAGTTACTTAACCAAACCAACACAGATATCTCCCCTCTTTTATATTAAGAAACATTAACAAGGAGCTTCTTCAAGAGGAAAAGAACTACTGGTCAACTATGATGAAACAGATCAGCCTTTATGATAAAGTGGAAGAGTCAACACATCTCTTAAGACTGGACTGCCCTGATCAAGCATCCTGTTCCCCCGGGACTTACTATCTCATGCAGATCCATTAAGGAAGATTAAGCTTGTCAAAACTGGCCTGTGCCATTTTTCTCATTAGAAGTATCACTGCCTTTATCAACCAGCTGGAAGAACCTAGGCATAAATTATTAAAGTAATTAAAATTGTGTTGCCTGTCAGATAAAATATGAACTATTTTATTCATTAGTAACAATAAACAAAACAAATTCAAGACCCTGTAATTATTCCTATACCAATATAATCTTATAATTGCCATAGCCTGAGAAGTGTGAACTTCTTCCGACTAGGAGAAATTAAAAAAATTAATTAAATAAAAAAGAAGGGGCTGGAGAGATGGCTCCGGCACTTGAGAGCACTTGCTGCTTCTCCAGAGATTTGGCTCCCAGCACCGGCATGGAAGCTCTAACATGAAATTCTCTAACTCTAGTTCCATGGAATTTGATGCCCCTCTGTTACCCCTGTAGGCACCAAGCCCAGAGAAGGGCACATACACATATGCAGGCAACACACACACACACACACACACACACACACACACACTCGAAATAAAAATAAATCTTTAAAAATATACAAAAAGAAATGAATATTTAAACCAAGAAAATACTTGGCTTTTGTGGAACACCCTCCCACTCAACAAAACAAAACAAAACAAAAAACAACTAACCACCTACCACCGCCACCATCAAAAACAAAAACAAGTCTCCAAACCATAAAGCGTTGAAAACATAAATTATTTCCTCACTTAAGTGTTAAAAGAAAAAAGACAACACTTTATAAAAAACAACATCTGTGTAGTCAAACTATCTAGTAGAGTCACCTCCAGGCAGTTCGAGCCCTAATGAGGAAAAGCTGCATGGTAAACGGATAGGCACAAAGTAGGAGAGATTAGGGCCAAACTCTACCACCCCCATCATATTATTAATAGCTAATAGCTAATTAATCCCAGAAGGGGTGCATGGTAGGGTGGAGTTTTAAGGAAACGTGTTGGAGTTGAAGTTTGAGGCATCACTTGGGGTACGCAATTTCCTGAGGATGACTTCTGTATAGAAAAGAGCATAAGCAGTCAATTAAAGGACCAAAAGTAGGTGATTTTTCAAACAGCATGTGTTCTGGTGGCGATGATCTTTCCTCCAGACCAGTCCAATATTCTGCATTCTGCCCATTTCAAAAACAAGAGTGTCCTTGTAACCTTGTAGACTTTGCAAAGGCACTCACAATGGCTTTGGGAAGCCTTTCACTTGCAGGGCTTCAAGGATTTGTGTGGGGGTTGGGGGGTAGTTCATTCACAGAACAGTCGCCTCCGGGCCTTGCACAGGGGCCGTGGAGGGCATGGAAGGTGCTGCTCTTGAGGACTTGGAGGAGGAGATGGAGGCAGAGGCTGAAGTGGTGAGCTGGGGAAGGGTCTCAGCAGGTAGCTGCCCAGGTCCCAGACGGACCTCGGAGAATATCTCTTGGCCCTAGTGGAAAGCACCAGAGGCCATGGCTCTGCTACTGCGTCCTGAGGCCAAGGACTGTACACTCTTGTGGAGGAGAGATGAAGCCCAGCGGCCTGACTAGCTGAAGCATCCATCGAGGGTGACAGGAAGCCTGGTTCAGGATCTTCTTCCTGGTCATAGGCGTCTTCCAAACCAAAGATGTCTGATACAGACGCACCGAAGGATCCCTGCTGGTCCTGGAACACGTCGAGGAGAGTGGCCCCCTGCGGGCTGGCGGACAAGAACCCAGGCTGTCCAAGATGGACGGAGGCGTGGAGGCCCTCGGGGACGAGGATTAAGGTGTGTCCAGGGAGCGACACTTGCAGGACCGAGGTGGGCTCGGGCTCCAGCAGCAGGTCGACGTCTTCCAGCTGCAGTTGCATGGCGCAGCCGGCGGCCAGGAACACCACGGAGGTGAGCGCGTCGCTGGCGGGTCCGGCGGGCGCTTCCATGTCTGGCGGCGCCAGGGGCTCGTGGCGGGCGGGCTCGTGGAGGCGGCGGCGCTTGGCCGGGCTGGGTCCTTGTGGCTGAGGTGGCCAGCAGGGCTCGGGGTCGACGCTGGGGCTGCGGGGCCGCACGTGCATCATGTAGACGGCGCAGCGGGGCCGGCGAGGCGCGGGGTGCAGCGCAGACAGGTGCGAGGACGCGGGCGGAGCGTTTGCAGTGCAGGGCTCTGGAGTGCAGCGCTTTCCTCACGTCCCGCCGGATATACCCTGGACGTCAATTATATCCCAAGTGATGCACCGGAAAGTGAAGTCGTGAAATGTCACACTAGGCTCCGCCCCGCGTACCTCCATTCCAGAGGCTCCGCCCAGGAGTGGCGGCTGAGTTTTCCAATAGCCCAGGCTGTACTTGAGAAATACTGTTTTGGCCCAGAGGGGGCAGAATAACTTTTCTCTCCCCACACCCCTTTTTTTCTTTTAAATGACAGGCCCTGAATAGGATTTTAAGATGGCTGATCTTTAGAATTCCTGTTTTCGAGTAGGTTTCAGGGATTCAAAAGACCACTGAGAGTTGGCCAGCCTGGTCTACATAGCTCCAGAACAGTCGAGACTACAAAGAGAGATCCTGTCGTCCCTGCCCCACCAATAAATAATAAAAACTCTGAAAAGAATGCTCTCTCCACTCTCCAAAGATTCAGTTCTCTTAACTTCAGTGTTTATCAAATTTTGTTTTCATTTTTCAGAGAAAATGTCATTGTATAAGTGTGTCCTGTGGTCGATACTACAAGTATGTGATCCCAGCATTATGGGAAGGTAATGGAGGTGAATCTCAAGTTCGAGTCCAGCCTGGGTCACATAGTGGGACACCATTTTTAAAAACAAACAATGCACGCCTTTAATCCCAGCTCTCGGGAGGCAGAGGCAGGCAGATCTCTGTGAGTTTGAGGCCAGCCTGGGCTACAGAGTGAGTTCCAGGAAAGGCACAAAGTTACACAGAGAAACCCTGTCTCGAAAAAACAAACAAAACAAACAAACAAACAAAAAGCATGGGCTGGATAGATGGCTCAGTGCTTACAAGCAGGTGCTGCTCTTCCAGAAAACCTGGGTTCAGCTCCCAGCACCCAAATGGCGGCCCAGAGTCATGAGTAATTCTAGTTTCAGGGGATGTGGCGCCCTCTTCTGACCTCCACTGACAGCAGGCAAGTACTTGGTGTACAGACAAACATTCAAGAAAACATCCATACACATAAAATAAAAATAAACACATTCTTAAAAAAACAACCCAAACTAATAAATGTTGAAGAAATAATTTTCTGAGTGTCTGAATTTCATGAGTACCACCTGACTTGACTTACAGCTTGTCGTGGCTTGAACCCAGGACTTTGTGCAAGCATTCTAAGCATCATTTGGAACACATCTCCCACCTCATGGTTAGAGAAATGTACAGGTCTTTCTCGGCTCTATGAAAAGTGCCTTAAAATACTAAAGTGGCTGGGCGGTGGTGGCGCACGCCTTTAATCCCAGCACTCGGGAGGCAGAGCCAGGCGGATCTCTGTGAGTTCGAGGCCAGTCTGGGCTACCAAGTGAGT